GACTTCTTCATCAATCCTCTAGTGTATTCGTATTGAATGGATTATTTTATTTTGTTTTATTTTACTTTTTTTGGGGGAGGCAGAGGAAGGAAGAAGCAAGAGATTCAATGCGCTGTCTGTAAAAATTCAGTCCATTGTTGAAAAATGACCAAAAAAAAGCGCTTGTTTATTCCAATCGAACACACTACAATGTCAGCAACTCATTCTCATCATTACATAAATCGTGTGTATTATTTTACGCGAGATGACTAGTGTTCTCAAATGTTGTGTTAGGTTCATCGTATCTCTTAAAATATCCGACATAATCGATCCGGCAAACGAGACAATTTGAACTTATTTGATGGCTTCCTTATTGACTTAAAAAAAGTGAAGTTTCAGCATGAAACTAAAAATGATGATGAGACAAACGGACAACTGAGTTGATTGGCATTGTCTTGTCAAAGCCTCAGTTGAAAGCATGTCATTTTGCAACAATTGTTCGCCTTCTCGTCCTCAATAAATGTTCGATTTTGGAGCCGCAAGCAATGCTACTGCCACTTTTGATGGTGCCTACGCGACAAAGAAGTACCGTTTTGTTATGCTTGTTATTGGTGCTTCTCGGTTGCCTTTCGAAAATACCTCAGGTCCATCCGAAACCTCCGATCGATTTTACGGCCACAGATCCAGCTTGTGACACGATGATACCCTCATCAACGCACAACCAAATTCGAACGACCAACATCACCTTCAAAATGAGAATTTTCGACGAAAATGGCAAAGAGACGTTCGAGTATGATGCGAAAAAACGGAGTATTTTATACGGTTAGTATAATGTATGATATCTACCACAAAATAAATGTGCGATATGTTTCGCTTGATCAAATTACTTCTGATATTCTTCCAATTTTGGGCTTGATTAGACTGACACATTGACCAGATAAAATACGGGATTTTCATTGATATCGACTGTCAGCAATAAATACTGTTGAACTGATATCGCAGATTGTAATCTCTCGTATCAAGTTATGGAATCAAACTACTGGTTTCTTCTTCTAGGTCAATTAATCAAACTAGATCAATTAATCAAGTGACTGACAACAACTTAACGTGAGAAAATGATGAATAATAACGATGCAATTTCATTAAATTTCGACTTGTGAATAACTTTAAATACGGTTACTTGCACTGAAACTTAATGCTTCGATTGTTCACCAAATTAATTTCAGTGAAGATTGAAGGAGGTCCATTTGTACGTGCTCATATTCAAGCACGTTCTCTGGCATATCCCACTCAACAAATCGGCAATTTCGTTGATCCGGTTCCGCAATATTTCAAATTGGTTAATTGCAGTGGTATCTACGGTTAGTTCATTGAATTAAACCCTTTGAAAGTTGCTCATTTGAACTTTCCAATCTTGAGTTGGGTTCAACATGATTTTACTTGATCTGAATATGGTTTCTGAGAATTCGACTGATTACATCGGTATGATTTTATGCGTTTGAGGCGCCGCAATAATCAATGAGGATCATGTGACACGACGACATGTGGGTGTTCGATGGAAACCGCCAAGGATATCGAAGGGAACCATCGTCTTCATGGCGAGTATCATCCGGGACAAGCAGCTCTATCATATTCGATCCGCTTTCTTATCACCCATTTCCAGTCTGATCAGTGGTTAGTTCCCATCCATTATGAACATTCATTTTTCACCTCTATAAAAATCGCAAAGCAATGTTTTCGAAAAATTTCAGTGAGCAGTCATAACTGCGGTCGATCGCACGGTTGCCTTAGGGTCGATGAGAGTAGTGAATGCGCGTTTGCCGACGAATGTCTTTTCTCGCTGAAATGGCAGTGCTATAAAGATGCAATGATCGTCGATGCCATCCACAACGGTGGACACAAATCATTCGGATTAGCTTTGGTGAGTAGTGCAATATTCAGTGTCTTTCACATAAAGCCTCTTCACTCTTCTACAATTGGGCATTCTTTCGCATTATAGAGTAAAAACGTCTTAAGAAAAGTTTTTTCATCCGAACTTGAACAATTGAAACTGAGTTCTCAGTATGCTCCCAATTTCAAAATATCTTCCGTGATTGACCATTTGAAAATGCATCATTTCAGTAGCCATTTTTGGATGTTTTCGTATCTTAACGCAAATCTTATCGGTCATAATTTTTGCTGTTGCAACTTTCAAATCAGTTCCTCATTGGTTGAAAACTTGCCACATATTGCGCTTACTAAAAACCAGGAAATTTGGTTCAGTGTTATCATTTCGAATTGATCTAATGTTTGAGGATGATCAACGTGCTGTAATGTGTGTGTCGAGGCGTCGATCAGTGGATGCTGAGGACTTCTTCATTGTTGGTGATAACGGTTTTCCGAATATTTTTACGCAATCACGCAGCAAACTTTTGAAGGGACTACGTGAACCAGGACGATTTTATTGTCGGTTAGATTTTGAATCTTTCCAATCATCATTGTATATCCCTGGCGAATTCCACTATCGTCAGACACTCCAAATCCATCTATATCGAACATATCGAGGCAACATATCCTTTCCCTAGCAACTTTCAACTGCTTCAATGATGATTGAGGCAACGCATGAGTCTATCCTCACTCACACTGATTACGAATGTCAGTTCTGAAATGCTGCTATCGATTGTGTGACATCATTCAATCGCCGCCTCGTCGTACCATGCTGCGATAGAATAATGCAAATTTTTTTCTTGCAAGCATTTGCTGAAAAACATTTTATGTTCATAAAATGTTCGCAAATTTCACTGCAACAANTTTTTTTTCTAAGCAAATTTTCAGCGCATTCGATGCATGAGTCATTTCTGAACACTTCACTTCTCTAAACATTTTTTCGTACGTTCGAGCTGGAAGCGGTCTTATTGCTTCCAGTCTCATAATAAGATATTGCTTTCGTCATCGCGCTCGCGGCTTCTCAATAACGACAACGGCGAATTGTTAATTTATCGATCGACGACGACGATTCCTTCACAGTGATATGGCGAAAGGCTCTGAGAAAGAGCACTTTGATGTGAACACAATAATCAACTGTAAGAAGAAAAAGGGTGATGGTCTTCAAGGAGGTGACGACGACGATCAACGACGGAATTTCAAAGCGTTCGGCTCATTCGAGCCCGTGATTCACTACCTGGCCGGATTGGCCTCAGGTGTGGCGGGTGCGTTGGCCGGTCATCCACTTGACACCGTCAAAGTGCGTTTGCAGACCCAAAGCCAACTGGAGCAGTTGGACGCTCGATATCGTGGTACTTGGCACTGCTTGTTCACTATGTTCAAGAAGGAAGGCACCCGTGCGCTCTTCAAAGGTCTTTCGAGTCCGTTACTGAGTCTTACTGTAATCAATTCGATTGCATTCGGCACTTACGGTAATACACTGAAACTGTTCAACGATCAACGCTCACTGACAACGCATCTGATAGCCGGAGGTGTGGCAGGTCTTGCGCAAACAATTGTGATCTCACCAACTGAACTGTTGAAGTTGCGAATGCAAGTGCAAATCGAGGGAACCAAAAAAGAGTACAGTTCACCGATTGATTGTATTCGCAAGCTGACACGTCGATACGGTGTGCTGCATCTGTATCGAGGCATGCAAGCGACGATTTTTCGCGATATCCCATCGTACGGTGTCTGGTTTGCGGCTTACGATCGTATCGGCCGATCGATGAGTGACGATGATCGTTTGGAGTCACTGAACGCGAATGGTCTGTTGATTGCCGGTGGCATTGCCGGCGTACTGTCTTGGTTGGTCAACTATCCGGTTGATGTGATCAAGACGAAATTTCAATCGGACGATAAATTCAAAACGTACGCGGAAACGGTTCGATTTACGTATCGCACCGAAGGCTATCGTGGCTTTTTCGCCGGTCTCAATTCCACTCTGATACGGGCGTTTCCGGCGAATGCTGCGATCTTCTTTGCGGCAGAATGGACTTATCGATTCTTTGGCAAGATACAAGATATGATACTGGAGAGGCGGAAACGTCGACAGCAAAAAGAATTGCGAGTGAAGGTTGGCACCTGCATTCGAAAAAAGTCAACAGTGACCGAATCGAAATTTAGATGCTGGCCGCTTGGTTGTACGCAGGCCTGAGCCCATCGACAGTTTCAGTCTTAACTTAGTCTGTGACATTCACGGTCTTTTCTAGTAGTGATTCGGAAGAGATTCAAGAGTTTAGGTCATTGTCGACACCTTGCCGAACTTCTCCGCATGAAAATGTGTGAATAAGATATTGATGGAGGATGATAGCTTTAGAAAGGGAATGTTGCCTGTGGATATGTTAGCGTAAAGCAGTTAGACCAATACTATTGAACTAGCAACTAAAATGGTTAATGCCTAGTTATGAATGTCATCGTTTCCTTCAGTATGCTTTGCTTCAACAATCGTTTTACAATGATTTCCATACATTTAATAAGGAAAATTGATATGAAATGTGATTCGGAGGTATTTTTGGGAGGTTATTTCAGGTTCGAAATAGAAAGGCCAAAGCTGAACAACACTGATTTTATCTATGGCGAGATCGATGAATGTAAGTCGCATTCAATTAGTTTCCAAATCCAAGCTTCTGTTTTTTTTTTCAAATCGTATATCAAGTTTCTCATTTACAATGAAAAAAGCTAGTCAACTAATGCAATGCTTCAAAAGTGATATCGCATTCGATGAAACGGGAACGTTGGTCGATTTCAGTTGAAGTATATTGGGTTGAAGTAGATTGAAGTAAAGCAAAGCAATAATATTAGAACATGAGAGGCAAAGCGCTCTAATATCATGTTGAGTGAGTGAATAAAAAATAAAAAATAAGGTTGAATGAAAAAGATAGTAACAAATGAAATGTCATCTAGTAATCACTTAATGACAAGGTAATAGTCG